TTCAGTTACGTATGCTTTTAAAGATATGGATGCTTTTGAAGGTTATCACAATTGCAATATACAAAGAGCAATGCCACTATGCAAAATGTGTAACTTCTGATGCTTGAAGGAGTTCTGGCTGGTTCTGTAAATTAATGGCATACATATAAATGGGAGTTTAATAATTTTCTTAAATGCTGTATTATTCATCCAACCACGGCAGTTTTACAGGAGCTGTTGTTTTTGACATCTATATTAAATGGCAAATATTTGCTTTACATGTCTACTGAAGTAATATGTACTTAATGATTTCTTTTTAAGTATGCATGTTCTCATCTTACAATAGGTTTGAAGTCCTGATAGAGTGTTTGCCTCAAAGTTGTTTTCAGATTTGCTGTTAAACGCTAAGAAAACACTTAAAGAAGTTCTTGCTGTGTAACTGTTTATGTGCTACAGCACTAGTATATACCATGTTTCATACAAAATCAGGTGTGTATAGGTCAGTTCTGCTCTGAACAAGCCAACAGCCCCCAGCTTGCTGCAAACTCACTCCAAATTTTAGGTTTTTCTATTCAAATGGGATTGTTTCAAGTGTTTAAAAATACTGAATCTCCACATTCTGCTGCAATTTAGGCTTTAGTTTGCTGGAGACCAATGTGGACAATGTTTGCAAGGGTTTGGGTATTTGTGCACTAGTTTTTCATTCTCTGTTACCATCTCCTACCCATGTCAATAACTCTTGCTTTTTTTTCTCCCTTACTTATCTTTCTGAGAGGTGAACTTTTATAGGGAATCAGTTCCATTCAACATGTGGCATTAGACTGTGTTAGCATGCACCCAATTTCAGAAAACTTTTTATAACTTCAGGTCTTATTTCCATATCGAGAACAATTCAGTATGGGTATTTTAATGTATTTTTTACCGCAACATGCATGGCTATTTATTTTGGCTGAGTCCGTGTTTTCCCGCTCAGCTTCAAATGAATGCAGTATTTTAAGTGCTGTAATAACACTTGATCTTAAAGTAAATAAGTATTTAAGGTTACTGTAATATCATTGGGCCTTAAATATATGCAAGGTGCTTGCATGTGATAACTCATATTTGATATTTCGGTGGGTTTTTATTCACTTTTACTTGTTGAAATGCCTCTTACATAGATGTCTTGATAACTAGTTGGTGTTTTGGCTGATTCACTAGCTATGCTGGCTAGAGGGGAAGAAAAAAAGAAAAGCCAGAAGTGAGATGAGGAGACATGATTGCTCCTTGGAGTGTGATTATGCCACTTTGTTGCAGTTGAGCTGTAAACATCTCCAGCGATAGGCGGCTGCTGCTGCTCCTCCTCTGGGAAAATCTGTGTGTAGTTTTGTTTCTTGGTACAGAGGTACCATCAAACAGGGAACACTCCAGAGAGAACATTATTGAAAGTTGTTTTTTTGTGTGTGGTTTTTGTTAATGCAGACATGCCAGGAACTTTAATTCCCTTAAATTTCAATTGGTTTTATTTTTCATTTAAAGTTTTTTTTCTGCTGAAGTTTATAACTTCTCATTGCCCATGGTAACATCAAACTTTAAAATTCTGCTGTAGCACTGTTAGAAAATTTTCCAGGAAAATACTGAGTCTTGTAGATGTATTGTACGTTCTTACTTTTTCTTATGTCATCAATTTGTAGTTGTCCTTTGCCCTGGGAGACTGTGTGTCTAGAGTTTGACACTGTATTTCTTATAGCTTGCCTACCTTTGGGGACTTTGTAGTAACTTGTGGTTTGTTGTGAGCTATTTCTGAGTTAGCAGAATCTGTTTACCTTAAGAATATTCTTGCTTTTTACACTTCATACCAGTTTGGGGTTTTTTTTGGTGCAAGTTGGAGGAAAAAAGGAGACCAATTTTTATTCTGTTGTATTACAGTTCATGTACATATGCTTATTCTTAGAGCAGCAATGTTGCTATCCTCATGGTTTACTTGACATTTCATCAAAATAAAAAAAAATCTGGCAAGATTCTGTCCTAGAATCAATCCAGAGTAGACTCAGGGATGTCAGCTGAGCTCTGAATAGCTTTCTAAAATAGAACATCGTGATTGGAAATCTGGATTATTTTTTTCAAAGGTTGTAAAATGGAACAACAGAGGCCTCTGAAGTGTGTATGTGCATTTCTCTCTAGGTCTTCTAACACGTGTAATCTGCGTATTATCTTTTTTAGACTGACCTGAAAAAACTGAAATAGTCTCCTGAACCACTTGTTTCTGTTTTTGAGGTATAAAATGTCGGAAGCATTGGACAGCAAATGCCACATAACTTAATAACACTGTCTGCTTAAACTGAGAAAGTGACAGTGCCCAGTTCTTTTAGGGACTCCTCTTAATGAGGGAGGAAAAAAATGGTGAAGTATTGAGAAGTTCACTTCCTCGAAAGTTCCAAGGAAGTTTAATAAAATCTAATGGTGACATTTGAATCCCTTTGAGAGATGTGGAGACACTCAGCCTTTATTTACAAATAGTCAGCTAGAATATATTATGGTGGAAGCAATTTCTGTTCTTTCAAAGTGCCATTGCAAAATGCAGAATGACTTCTGAACTAGCAAAGTGGAAATTTAGGTAACAGTAATCAAATGAGCATTTTGGTAAGCAGAAGGGAGGAAGAAGCCACTTCAGAGCAACACTGGCAAACTGGTGGGTTCCTCAGAGAAGGGATTTATATTTTTTTTTTTTTTTTTTTTCTTAAGAAAGAACTAGGTGCTCTTTTTCTCTGCAGGTAATGTACTTGTCAAGTTATTGCTAACATACTTGATGAAAATGAAGCTTTCTTTTCATAGCTGTGTAGCAAGTTTTGAATAGTTTTTTCTTATGGGTGGTGGGATCTTTGCTAACAATTCTGGTCTCCTCGCATGTATAGGAATAATAAGCCCTTTAGGAAGGGTCTGAAAGTCTCATTTGAGCTGTGTCTGCTGGAGTTAGGGGCAGAAACTGTTGTGGAAGTGCCAGTGGAAGAGGAGGAGAGAGGAGGAAGGTGGGTGTTTTTGTATGGTTCATAGATATTACTGCATGGCTTGAATTCATTAATTCCTGTAACCTTGAGCTGTTTTGTCAAGCCTGTCGTTTGTCTAGCTAAAACGAACAGTCCCATGAGATTTGCACTGCTGCTTCTGTTAGACACAGGCTTGCTTGATGTACAAGATTTAAGTTCTTCCTGAAATTGCTGCTTCCTCACCTACTGCTGCTGAGCAGGGTGGGAAGATTCCTACTTGAATGAAAGCTGGAAAAGCCTGTCTTCATCTTTAACCCGCAAATGAGAAGAGCAGTGTGTGTAATGTAGGATTTTAAACAGTTTTGTTGCTCCTTCTGCTTTATTTTATGGCACTGTTTGGAATAGTAAATGTCGGTATTAAAATACGCTGGCAGGGAAGAAGTCAGCTGTCATCAATGTCTTTGCAAAGGAAAAAGATTCTCTGCTTGCTGTGTAAGGCAGTCTCGTAGATCCCACTGGTGTGAGTTGCCCTGGAAAGCAGGCTGAACAGATAGAGTGTCAACCACGTAGGAACTTTAAACATTTAGGTAAATATGGGCCACTCAGTCTGGTTTATTAAATTTCACTGCTTGCTTTTCTTATACATTTTAAAAAAACAGTTTTCCCTCCTCCAAAACTCTTAATGCAAACTGGATTTGGTGGGGGGGTTTTTTGTTTCTTTTTTTTTTTTTAATAGGAACAGTTTATGTCATAGCATTGTTTCCTTCATATTAACCAAAATATTTTGCAAAGTGATATGATTTGGAATAAATTCAGATCTTGGAGAAGTTCTTGGCTTGTTCAGTACTTAATGAAACTATCACCTATTTCTGTCAGTGGAAATCCTACTTCCATGTGGCTCTGAACTCTTGAAAGTAATCTGAAAGGATGTTACTGTGCCCTAAGCGGATTTTTTTGTGCGTGTGTGGGGTGAATTTAGACGCTGTCCATACATTTGTGTTTTCTATAAGCTTGGTTTGTGGAAGGAAAATGATAGCACATCTGCAACAATGTCTCACTGATGGAGGATCAGATGGTGTTAATGTTGAGGCTGTTAAATAGGGGGTAAGAGTGTTTAACTTGGAATGAGATACAGAAGTTTTGTAACTAGGATAAAAGTTGTAAGCAGAAAGTGGCAATGAAATCTGAGTGAAGTACTTTGCTTGGGAAAACTGACAGCGCTTAAACCCATTTTATACAATAGCTTGTTTGTATATTGCTAAAAGTCTCTTCTCATTTCATGCTTCTGTTGCTAGGAAGTCCACTGTATTTGTCACAATGTTTTTAAATGTGAAGGAATATTTTTAAGTAATTCCATTCTGAGCTACAGAAATATGCTAATTCTCTTTATTGGAGCAATAAAGCAGAGCTTTAGATAACTTTCTAATGTTACTCACTCTAAATATGCTCTGGAGTGCATTCAGACCTGTCTTGGCTAGTTTATTTTCCTAGCTTTTCTGTACGTGTTGGGATTTTTGTTTGTTTTTCCTCTTTTGCTGGGCATGAATCAACAGTCTGCCTCATTAAAGAAGGCCGTCAACGAGGTTCACTCATGATTTTCCCGGGGAGAGATTCTGCTACACGATGTCTTTGTAACTGGGTCCCTGCTGACTTTTGCAGTTGAACACTACTTTTAAGAAGTGGAATTTCTCCGATATGGTCACTTCCCCAACATGCTTTAAAGCATAAGGCTAAAACAGGAAGAATGAAATAAATACTTCATTTTGTGAAAATTAGACCTGATTTAAGCAAGAAACTTGCATTTTCTTTAGTCGGAGGCCTCTGTATACGTGATTATCAAGCTAATGACTCCAGAAGTATGCATTGATGCTAATGGGATTAATCTAGCTTGCTTTAACAGAAACAATGTTGCACTCTTATAGACTATATATGCCATATGTAGTTCCATACTTATCTGTGAAATAGTTTGAAATCACTCACCTTTGTGTAGGTTGCTTGACTAATGCATGTATCAAATCTTTCTTTTTCAGATCTGCCTTGAGTGAAGTTTGACAAAAAATGTTACAGCAGTTTTGTGTCTGGAAATGTTTAACTGTAGGGATTGCCGTTGCTACTATCTTAGCAGGTTGTTTGGCCCAGAATGATGAAGGTAAGGTTTTTGCTGTAGAGGCGTAGCTGTGGGAGGGGTGGGATGATTCTGTGATTTCATTTTAATTTTTTCCTCCCTGAAATTATTACTCAAAAAAGTAGTTTGATACTTAGTAGGAAAGAAAGATCTCGGTATGTGTCATGATTTTATGCATGTCGATTATTATATTTTACAAAGTTCTTGATTTACCAGTCAAGATAAAATCTTAAGTTATGATTATTCAGTATTAGACTTCAGCTTTAAACCTTTTTTCCTCTTGTTTATTGAACAAATACTTTGCTTTATTTGTAAATTGGCAGTTACAGCACTTGCAACAGGAGTTTGAGAGGGAATTGTTAATGGGCTTGTATACATATCTGACCAAAAACTTGAGAAAAGATCTGCAATGAGGGTCTTCTAGAGAAACCTGTATACCTCAGAAGTCCTAAAACATGGTACCAGTAGCTCATGTTCAGCCTCACGACATTTTGGTTGAATTTAATTGAGAGATACCAGAAATGTGTTCTGCCCGTTATCTATAGTAATAAAAAATTACAGACCTAGATAACTCGTTATGATTTATTCTTTTGAACAAGTTGAAGAGCTGAGTTTGACACACTTTTTCTTAAATATTCTTAAGTATGATGAGGAGGATAAGTAAAAAATGACTAAGGTTTCAGAATGTCTGTAATGAAGCTGCTTATAATAAAGTGGCACTTATGCCTTCCATGTAGGTAAGCTGTAATAGTACATATTTATGACTTATTCCTGCAGCTGGATTTTCTTTTAGAAAACTCTATGTTGGCAGTTGAAGTACGGTAGTTTTGCTTTCATGAGAAGTCTTTGATCCTACTTGAATTTTGTTTAGGTTTTTTTGGTATCGGGTAGAAAGTGTATTTTTTCTTCCTCTATTAATTACTCTACAAATGTCCTTTTATTCCCTCACATCCCCCAGTATTTGATGTCTGTAATATACAAAAAAGCTTATTTAAATTTATCCATGTGTATACGCTGTCATTATAGCTGTCACTCTTGACACTGAAGTGAAGCATGTTAGCTGCTCATATTTCAGATACTTGATCTATGCTTGGATACAATTAACTTGCTTTGTAATCACTTATTGTAGCAGTGGAGTGGGGCCATTATGTTTTGCAACATTGGACTTAGTGATGGCTGTCAAGTAGTCTTTGAGCAATAAAATGCTAGATTTGAGGAAGGAGAGGCTGCATGGTGGTGGGATGTCCCCTGGTGTGTTCAGCAGCACAGGAGGAAGTGGATGTTGGAGAGCAATGGCAGTATGTTGAAGGGTGGGGAGGGAAGCAGAATGATATGACTGCACTGGGCTATATCCATTCTGGGGTCATGAAAAGAGAGCACTCATGGTAGGCTGATAATATAAAGCAATACTTTTTACTGTGCTCTTGTTTGTGCTCACACAGGCAACATCATAACATTCATCCAAAAAGAAATCTTTGATCAAAATAACATTGTAATTTCTGTGGAATACCATTTTCTAGTTACAATTCAACAACGCTCAAGTACGCAAAACATATGGCACAGATGCCCTAGAAAGTATAATAGTAGACAGTTTGATATTTCAAATTAGGAAAACAGATTCCTCAGGTTTCAATTTTGGTCCTTTCTACTTCTTATATGACAAGCTCCCATGTTAATTAATGTCCTTATCTCAAAAAGTATGCAGATTTTTTTTGTTACACGTGATTTAAAGGAAGGGAAAGATAGTTGTCCATAGTTATATATAAAGCTATCATTTATTAATGATAGTGTCACTGAAAATGTACAGCAGATTGCTCACTTAAAAAGGCTGTGAACATGTAGTTGCAGTTAGTAATCTGTTGTTCATGGTGTCACGTGCTAGGAGAGAATCTCTGCAACTTCTAGACTTCTGTGTCGGGAGTTACTGTGAGCAGGTGAAAATTACATCACTGACAGATAGCAATAGCAACAAAAACTCAGCTAATTAGATTTCTTTTTGTTTGTTTTTTTTTTTTTTAAATTGTGTTGCCCCAGTTTGACTTTTTATTTGATTCTTCTATTGAATTCTTGCAATAATGCTATAAAATCTTGCCAACAAAACTTTCACTTGTGTCACTAGGAAATGGAGAAGACCTGAAAATACAGAATATTTTAAAGTCAGGCCTAAATGTTGTGGATGACTTGGCAATGTATCTATTCCAAATATCCACAATTTTGGAGATAGTATTCAGACAGTACCAGGGTTTTAGAGACTTTCTTTTGGTGCATTAACTTAGATTCTTGAAATTTTGTGTTTTCTGTGCAAGCTAGTGTTTCAGATGAGTGTACAAGGATCCCTGCTAGAGTGCCCACATTATGATATTCTTCCTGAGGTTTTTTTTGTGGGTGGTTTCGTGGGGTTTTTGGGGTTTTTTGTTTTGTCTTGATTTCTTTTTTTTTTTGGTATCTTTGCTCGTGCCATTTTGTTTGGCACAGAACCCAAACTTGTTTTTATCCTTAACAATAATCTTCATTATATAGTCTGAACAGAGGAGCTTTGCTTTTCAGTGAATATAAATTTGATGCACATAACCAAGAGTATTGTTACTTTACTTGGGAGGAAATGTACAGAAATGCTCTTGCTTGAAGAATATGCAGCACTGATATAAACTTGAGAATGAACTGATTCCTCCATGTTCATGAAACAGTCAATTTAGCTGATATATTCAAGGTACTTCATATAAATTCCATAATGCTACAATCGAGAAAAAAACGTATGGAAATTCATTTAAGCCAGGGTAGGGTACTCGCTACTCAATAAATGCTACCCAGCTAATGAGGCAATGCTTATAAAAACAATTACTTTGAAATATGTTTCTTACAGCTAAATAGAAAGCTATGTTCCATACTTACATCATTGCAGAGAAGTACCTTGGCATGCCTGGGACTGGTGGAGTTGCAGTAACAAAATTTGTAATCTAACATATAACATATAAAAGACGCATTGTTTTAATAATTACAGTTTAAAAACTGTAGTTATTTTAACAGCAGAACAATCATGAATATAAACAAGAAGAATCAATTAAGGCAGAAATTATAAACTATTTCTTTTCATCTAGCATGCAAATGATCTGTTTTCACGGTTGTAGCTGTGCATGTTTAGTCACATGCCTCTCACTGCATTTTGCTCCATTAGCTCATACTTTGTCTATTTCAGAAGTTTTTGCTTGAATTCCTGAGTTATCAAGTCTTCCCCAGCCACAGCAATTAATGATGTTACAAAGTAGCCTTAAAAACTTTATCAAGGAAGTCTCAGAAACAGTTAAGCTGCTTTCTTCCTATACTTATTAGAAAGCTTCCCTAGAATCTTATTTGTTCATTTGGCTCAATGCCATTTTCTTGTAGAAATGAGAACGGCTAGCTGATAGTGCCTGGTAATGCGTTTCTATCACCGATGTTTCTGCTCTCCAAGCAAAGGAACATTTAGAGAGCAATAATTCCCCCTTTTGGTTTTTGCTTGCTAAACTAAACAAACGTGTTTCTGTAGGCTGCCCTTACAAAGTAGATTCTCCTTCCCCTCGCGATCTCAGTAGTCCTGCTATGTCCCTCTTTCAACTAAATTCACCTCCTGAAAGTTGTTGCTAGCGTTTGTATTTTGTGTCCAGGTGACATCCCGACAGTTCTTTATGATGCCATCTGTGCTTTTCTGTGTGTGTTGGAGTTATTTCACTCAGTAAAGTGTATTTCATGCATTGGTGGATGGCGGTTGTGCTGTAATGTAATACAGCTCTGTCTTTTTCTATTGTCACCTGTAACTGATAAGCACAGGCCTCTAGGGGTTGGTTTTTTTTTTCACAGCAGTGTTTTTGTCAGTGGTGTCTTAGTGACATGCAAAGCAAAGTTGCATTTGTGCTCAGGTGGTTTTTCTGTTTATGCCACTAACAAATTTGTGTCCTGCATTTCTTGTTCTTGTCCCCCCTCCTCCCATCCATCATGGAGGGAGCCACAGCCTCCTCCGAGGGCCTGCGCTATGTCGAGTACTCCAGGGTCCCTACAGGTGCTGGCAAGGGCCAAGCTGTGCTGGACCAAGGGCTGGCCAGAACTATGATAGTAGTTGGACTTGGTGTTGCAGTTGTTGCATTTGCAGGTCGTTATGCTTTCCACCTTTGAAAACCATTGGAGTAGGCAATTACAAAGATAGCAAGAAGCATTTCAACTTCTAATCTTTCATCGTACTATAAAGTAGGATTTGAACAGAAAATGAGCAGGTGAGAAGCTAGTCTTATTTTAGGTCTAAGTCCATCTGATGGCAAGGCCAAAATCAGAACAGCCCATAGAAGAATCATGATTTTGAATCATCCTGATAAAGGTGGATCATCCTTACTTGGCAACAAAAATAAATGAAGCCAAAGACTTGTTGGAATCTAATGCCAAAAACTGAAATCCGAAGCCTTGGGTCATAGGAGATACAGCAGAAAGCTTTCGTATCTACTTACTCTGTACAGTTTCTGAACCCATCATATTTATTGTCATAATTAAAAACTTATTTTTAAGAATAAGTAATACAGATTTTAAATTTATATAACAGATTATTTAAAAGCAAACTGAAATCTTCTACTGCTATGTAAAGTTATGTGTGGTTATGCTTCTGTGAGGAGCAGGGAGTTGGACTTGATGATCCCTATGGGTCCCTTCCAACTCAAGATATTCCACGATTTTAGAAGTTTTCAGTGAGCTGAAATTTCAGTCATATGCTACTATGCATTTGTAGAGTACTCCATCACCTTTCAGTACAAAGTACCTATCTGAACTAAGTCTCCTTGTCATCTCATTTTAGCCATCTCTCTTCAGGTGGTACTTAAAATTTTCATACTAATCTAGCCTTTAGCTTAATCAGTTCCTGTGGAGAGTATGTAAAAATCTACTGATGAAATGCAAATACTTTACATATCCTGTAGTCCCTTTGTACTAAAAAAACACCGCCCCCCCAAAGTTATTAAAAAAACAATCCTTTTGTTAAAGAGTCACATCAGTCTCAAAGTACT